GCTCTACAAGTTGTCACCCAACTAAATGCGCCAAGAAACAGTGTTATTACCCATAAGGCAGCCAAATTTTAAAAATCTCCATGTTCCGTGACCCTTGACTTTGAATGTATAACTTAAGTCACTTCATGATTGAAATCGTGCAAATCATGATTAGTTTCTGATGACTCGATAAACTCTAGTAATTTTCCTTATTTATGATTACTGAAGAAGAATTAAAACGTTAGAGAAATGAAGGGTGAATATGAAACGAACTAGTTTTTCTTTATTATCTTGTAGAATATTAACAACTATTCAAAACTATCATATATAGAACTGATTTAAGAATTTTAAAACAATTAGTCCCTTTGATAAATTTATATAACATAAACAAAAGATGTAAATTATCAGAAAGATGTGATATATTAGTGCAACAAATTTAGAATTGTACCGTTGAACGCGAGCTAGTGTTTTCAATGAACAGTGGCTTTACATGAGACCCGAAAATCCTGACTTCGATCTCTGGAGAGACCGTAGATGTATAGTGTTCAGAAGTCCCATAAATAAACGAGACAGTTGTCTAATGAATCTTGATTTTCTACAGTATTCCGATGGAATTTGTTCAAACCCTCTTAGTAATAGCGTTTTGGTTCTGACAATATGTGTACTCATAAGTTATTAAGGCGTATAAATCCCTTGAAACAATATCCAACATCCCACATGCTCAGTAGTACAGGAGAGTTTCATTACCTGCACTCTGGGTTTAGCTGACATTCATCGTCAATTAGTGAAGTGATTCGTTATTAGATGCTGAAGAATCCTTGGTTAACTTATTTTAGACTTCATGTCGAGGTATCCAGTCTGACCTTGAGGTCAACTTACATTTTGATCGAGAAACATGATATAAATATATTTAATTGGATTCTTCAGTAATTTTCGGGACTATTTTTTCATACATTAAGTACTAATCTTAGTCAAACAATAAGAACCGGGATGCATTAGACAGATGTTTCATCCTAGTATAGGACTCCACATTGTCAGTGAGCATAACACAACTCCTAGCAGGGATCAAACGCGGACCTCTCTATACTATCGCATCTATTTAAAATGACAGCTAGATGTTTCACCTTCTAATGTTAAGTAAATGCTGTTAGCTTACAGTAATTTAAGTGACAGAAAATTTAGTAGTATATCACCAGTAAATTTGGTTTGACTCAAGTCAGGTACTTTATTGGTTTTTGCGGCCTTCGTTGTGAGTCTGAGGAAATAATTATCACCCTACTAATGATATATGACAAACCAAGAAGAATTGCACTGTCTTAATGTTACGGGGAAATGAGGTATTTTAGAGTCATCTGAAACATCATATTTTGACAAGTTTTGGTATCTACATAAATCTATATACCTAGGAGACTGAAAAACAAATAAGCTTTCTAAATCTGATAAGCCTAATGACAAGTGTCAATTATCCTCCATTTTTAAACATGCATATTAGAAATGGGTCATGATTTGAACTATTTATCCGAAAATTCAAGAATCCTCTGCGTATTTTGGGGAAAATGTGTACCTACCATGATCACTTTGATCTTCTCCGTAATGATCTTGTTGCTTTTAAATTCGAATTCGTTTAGTCAAATCAAGTGATTGTTTTATAACAAAAAACTATGTTTTCTTCCTATTAAAGTCAGTTTGTGATGAAAATTCTTGCCAAAACAATAAACTGCTCAGCTACCATTGATTTCTGCAAATAAATTTGAAAACAGGCTTTTTGAAGAGGAAAAATCAAATCAGAATAGATGCTATTCTTACATCAATTTAACTACATGGAAGGTGACGGAAGGAATGTTAAAAAATACACCTTGTTCAACTGAACACAGTAGTGCATGTTATCTTCACTCTTCATTAAACGATCAGAGATATAAAAAACTAGCTGACATATTTTCGATTTACTTTCATCATAATTATCAGTCAGATGTTAAAGTTAGAAATTTTGGAGTAACATGTATTAAGCACACAGTCTGGTAGTATAATCCTTAACTAACGGGATTAATGAGTAAATGGATAGCTTGATAGCAGTTAGTTTTACTCCATACTCATCAAATTCTAGGCCTAAATATATTTATCGATAAAGTGACTTTGGCTATGTTGGGAATCTTAGATTGCCAACGAAGAACCTCCATAATTAATATAACATATTAAAAATGGTTTGAACTATCCCGTTTTTAACATCCAGGACTGAATTATGATTAGCTTGTGTTGGCTTTTCTGTACACTCTATGACGATTGTCCCAATATATCCCTAACTAATAAAAATCTGAACACCATGTCAGCAGAATACGTTGGTGTCTTTTTGAAGTTAGTAGCTCAGTGGATAACATGTTAGGCATTTGAGGTGAAATTCACTGGGTTTAAGTGTTAATGTAAATACATTGAGAACCACGTGCATCCAATCGACGAATCTCAAGTAGAACATAACGCCTGTCTTGAACTCGACTTTTAAACACAATCCATTTATTTTAAAAATCTTATGATTAACAATTTAACTGTTAATCAGTTCAGTGTTATTTACATGTGTCCTACAATTGAATATGAATAAATGTTGCAATATCTATCATATGAGTTATTAGAAGTTGTTTCCGTAGCTCCAAACCCACTGACCTATGAATACTGAACATAAAATACAATAGACATATTAGAATACTTTTACTCTGCCACCATTGTCCATAATCATGCAAAACAATCGAAGTCATAACCCCAAGGTTAAACACTTTGATAAAAAATAATAATAATAATCTCCAGACGAAACTGTCAACTTTAATCAGTTAAAATAGATGAATCAGGATTGTTAAAATTTTGTTTACCATAAAGATCAATATAGGTTGAAATAAATTATATTACAATGAGGATTTTTGACTGAAAATTTAATAAGTGTCATAAAGTATGAAGTTTTGAGAAAATTAGGTAGAAATTTAGGTCATGAACTAGCTGAACTGAAATACTTCAAATTATACTATCCTTGTATGAGCTTCTAAAAATGACATATGTATTTCTCTATCTCTAATCGAAATATTTTACTCATTTAATTTTTCAAAAAGGAGTACTCTTTTTTATTTTTAGGGGGTAATCAATGAAACATATCGCATAGTTACTGATAACATTCGAGACCCAACATGCAGTATTCATCCACTAAATGAATGAAAAAAGTAACAGAAATGACCAAATAAAACATACGATTTGGACATTGAGAGTGTTGCAATTGCCCTAAAATGACTTCTACCCCAAAAAAAAAACATTTTACAAATAAACAATATATTTGTAATGTCCCAATAAGTAGAAAAATTAGATATTTTTAGAAGAGATAACAAGATCATCACATCAGAAGAGTACAAAAGAATGTAATTAGCATCTTACAATTTAATAATTTTCCTATGAACATTATTAGAAGCATATCAAAACTAAACGTCTCATTGCGTAATAATAATAATAATAAAGAAATACCAAGGATTGGTATTGCAGTTTTACCATACCATCATGGCACAACGAAAGAACTTCAAAGAATCTTAAAACAACACAGAATCAAAATATATTACAAAACAACGAACACACTTCGAAATATTTTAGTTCGCTTAAAAACAGAGAAAAAATCCCATTCATGTCAACACAGAACTGCGTCTACAAATTAGGTTGTGTCGATTGTGATGCCTTCTATATTGGAGAGTCATCTAGCGAAATTTTGACTCGTGCCAAAGAACATATCTAGGTACACAAAGAAACCACTTGATAATCCCGTAAAACTGGATAGACTTCAAATTAAATCGGCAATAGCAGTTCATGCCATTTTCAACAACCACCAAATCGACGTTAAAAATATCAAAATATTACAAAACGGTTTTTCCAATTACAAAGAAAGGAGAGTAGCTGAAGCGATCCATATAATACTTAGTCCTACTGTTCTCAATAGAAAAGAAGGCTTTACCATACATCCTAATTAGACTATCTATCCTAGCCGCCTATCCTTTCTCATCATAAAGATCACACACTTTTCATCCTCAACAGTGCATACATTTATACACACAAATTTTCATACATGTCGCTTACGAAACACCTTGACTAAAATGACATGACACTGATTCATTCAGACCTGTTTTTTATTGATCGCACATAATATTCTTGTTGTTTCGTCTGTACTATTTAAAATTGGTTATTTATTCTCTGAAGAATTAACTTAGACCAAATCACAAAACACCAGAAAATCTAAATTTTCCTACTCATTGAGATATTAGAAATATATAATTTTTACTTATAACAATCTACACAATTTATTTGAAATGATCAAATCCAACCCTAATAATAATATCTATTATTATTACTGTTATTGTTATTAATGGCTTTATTTTATATTATATTTTGGTACAATATAGAATTCTCAGTACAGGGTATGTCAACAAGTTACTTAGGCAAAAAGAATAGTAATAAGTACAAAAAAGGGAAAAAAAGGTTTAAAAGAAAGTCCGAAAAATCGTACAACTTTTCAAATTAGAGACATGTTAAGAATTCAGGTTATTGACTAGGTTCACTCTAACAACCTGTTCGTCACAGAGTATATTTGCTAGGTAAGGTATCATAGAACTTTTATATTTTTGCTTGAGTGCATGGATTTTAATGTAATTACGTCTCTTTCTACCAAAAGATATACAAGGAGAAAGATATGACTGAAGGGGATGGTTAGTATCTAATAAAATAACACCTGCCAGGAGTTTGCATGATTTTAAATGTCTATCCACAACCATATTAATTATGACCTCAAAAAATTCACCACACATCTTGCTAACTGCCTTCAGAGCTCTCCGCAATACAGCAAAGTCTTTTCTCAAAAGCCCGGGAAAGAATAATGGAGAACAGTAAAGAATAATAGGTAATATGCAAGAATTGACAAATTGTAAGAGTAAATGACGAATAATCCCAAGAGCATACAATCTCTTACATATTACAATAAAATATAAAATTTCCAAAAATACACTTACTTCCCATTTTTTTAACTTGACCATTTTCATGATTTTTCTGTTCTATTTTATTTGATATTTCAGACATTATTAATTATAGACAATATTATATCTGGATACAAAATTGTATTTGATTAAAATAGTTCAATTCTTAGTAATATATATGTATATGTATATACATAGAGAGAGAGAGAGAGTGTGTGTGTGTGTGTGTGTGTGTGTGTGTGTGTGATTGCATCATAAAAATATAAATATATATTACAAATATTCCTGTGATTTACACATTTTATCAAATGACTCAAATGGATAATTGACTTGTTCAATGAGAGAAAAAAAACAACTTTATTATTCAGAAAATTATTGTGAGTAGATTTCATCTCATAGAGTTATATTCATTAAAACATTAGAGATTTGTATTCAATCATCATTTATGATTAATTAGAATTACATTAACATGATGTACAATTTAGTTGATAAGTGGATATATATAACAAAATGAATGGATTCAAAACCAAAAAAAATTAATCAATGATTGCACTTCTACTAGACCTACAAATATTATACTTCACTGATTGGTTAAGATTATAGACCAATCAAATTTAAGATGTTTGTATATATATATATATATATTTGATAATGTTAGGCAAGGTGCGTGCATATATATGAGTAAACAATTTGCGATAATTACTAGTCCATGAATGGCATTATAAACTCACTTCATACTTGGAATAGATTCATTTACCTAACAACAACAACAACAACAAAAAAAAAAGACTAAATTATGATTATTTTTTCTAAAACTGGAAAATGAATATGATGTTTACTTATCCTTCTTTTATTTCCTTTCATTTCGAAATAATTTATTGAATTCTATTCTTGAGAGTATTCATTAAATAATTATGGGATTATGTGAGATAGGGAAAGAAAACATTATTAACCATATGTTACTTTTTTTTTCATTTTGTATTGATTAATCTAAACTTATAACTAAATATATTAGAGAATCCCGAAAAACAGTTATATTTTATTCTTTTATAAGTTAGTCAGGTCATTACTGAGTAAAATCTATTTGGTTTTTTTTTACTTGTTAAAAGTAATATACTATCTTATTTCATAATCATGTCAATATAGGGTCGTTACATAATTGATGTATACAAATATATATAAAACCTTGTTAACACCTGGTTAGATTACTTTATTCCCAAAAATAAAATCAGAATAGGAATGTATAGTTGAATTGAAAGCATGGTGTATACGTGTTGCACCTTAGTATAATTAATCTAGAAAGTAATTGTAGGGGGATTTTTTTTAGGAATAATTGGTTTGTTCTTAAAAAAAGTAATACACCTTATGTGATTTTGTAACAACAAGGCTATACTAGGAGTTTACATTGAATAGACAGTATCCTAGCAAACTTATTTACTTACTTATGCCTGTTAACCCTCGTGAGGGAGCATAAGCCAACCACCAGCATTCTCCATCCTAGAAAACTGAACTAAAAAGCTAAACTCTTCCAATGGTTTACCAGTGGGAGTAATGCACGCTGGAGCTTCCAACTAATTACACCCCCCCCCAAGAGATTAATAACTCAGATTACTATTAAATGAATTATTACATTGACAAACCAAATAGTTATTACAAGAATAGCGAGACTGAATCGAAAAGAATAGAAAATCTAATGGAAGACATGTACAATGATCTATCAATTCTCGACCAAAATCTTAAAAATGTTATCGAGATTTAGTATTAACTCTTTGGTGAAAATAATTTCATGAAATACAATAATTCACTGGGTGTTTTAAAAAATCTGAGATGATATCAAATATTCATTAACTGGAAATTCAATAAAGAAACATGAATAGCGAATTTGTGTTCAGAAATGCCTACTTATGGTCATTCCTATCTAAGTAGTATGGAGTTCTTGAATCATTAGAATAACAGGATTGTTTTCATCAATTATAAAAAGTGTGATTAGTTGTTAGAAATGTTTAGGGATAAACTATGTCTATATGAAAGTACGTTTCATACTAGATAAGGACTTAATAGTGTCGTGACTTTATGAGCCGCTTGTTATCACATAATCTATTTGCCAATCAAAATACGACTTGTTCGCCCTTATACTGTACTAAACCGACGACGTTCGACCGGTATGATCACCCTAGCGTTCTATTGGTCCGTTGCTCGCCTAGCCCGTCAAGCTGAGTTCAGAATGTCAATAACAGCCTCCACTATGTGAATCATTTATTTCAGACATACTGGGTTTATATACCAAACAAACTGACCGCAACGCAGCATAAAATAGGAAATAACATTCATACACAATCAAGCCAAAAAGTGGCTATGGAAGTGGGAGGCAGTAGTCAATAAACTGAACATAGCTTAAGAACAGTAAATCGTACAATAATAATATATAGGTCAAAATAAAGCTTCGAACAAGGGGAATATAGATATACATAATCTAGTTACTGAATATTTATGCCATAAGAATATATAGATAATATTAGTCCATTAATAGGTCTCAGACGTTACTCGTAATGTAATCTTCACTAGGATATAACAAATAGCTCAGTGAACAACATGTTGGAAGTTTGGGGCGCAATCCAATGGGTTCGAGACCTAGTGCTTCTGAGTTTTTGCGACCAATTCTGAATTATGCCACTCGACGTCTCCAGTCATTGGTAATGATAATCGTACAGATTACAAACAGGTAGTCTACATCTGCTAATAAGGCTCAGTCCAATAGTCACTGACTTCATGGAACAAAGTAACACATTGGTTTAGTCATCCCTAGCTTCCTGGAAACTTATTCCTACCCAAATCAACACCCCTCATCTAAACAGATGGTAGTTTCGCACACTTAATGCATCTTACAATCACCACAGCCCACAAAGACTCACTACCTCATTTTTACCTAGTACCGTGTATCCAGCCTCAACATTACTCAATTTGTGTTTCCAACAGACACGAGCAATCTTTTGAAGGCATCTATAATCAAATACCAACAGCTTACACCCATAAAGTAAAACAGAGCGAATTACTGCTCAGTATATTCATCTTTCGGTTGAAAGATGAATTAGTATCTAGTCAATGTTACAGGTGCCGCAAATTGGCAAAACTCAATCAGATTTTCTGAACCCATACTACAATTAATTTTTTAAAGCGTTATTTAAACCAAAAAAAATGAAATAAATAGAAAGCATCATGGTAAATGGGCACAAAATATTTCAAATTCATTTGTTTCTATTAGCAATAAGGAGTAATAATGAAAAAAGGAATTCGATCTAGTTTTAACGTCCTTCAAAAGCCCAAGACGAAACTTCTTCAATTCTCATCAAAACAAATATTAGACATTACTGTGTAGTACGGTTGTCCCTTAAAAAATATACAGATATCTATTGGTCACCATAAGAGCTTTAATACAGTAAATGCTAAATTGAAATTTTCCTCACTAGAATACTATCAGTCATCAGACATCATTTCAATACAAAGTGTACATTCTAATTGAGAATATTTGAACCTCTTCAATAATCTACGACTAATTGATAAAACTAGACAATTTATTGTTATTAACGTAAAATGCTGAATATTACTGATTAACTGAGATCACGAACCGATCTAAGTTAGATAACTACCGAAAACCTGAAAGCTATCTTGTTTTAACATGAGGATCCTCAGCAATGAGCATCCACGACCACGCAAGCAGAAATCTAATTCAGGACATTCGGATTCACGAACGAACCATAAGTCTCTTGACCACTGGGTCGGCATCCAATGTTTTACATGTGTAACTTCAATCAACCCAAAATATTACTTAACTGGTTAAGCGTTCGTGCGTGAAACCAAAGGTTCTAGGTTTAGTTCCCGTCTACACTACCGTGGATTCTCACTGCTGAGAAATTTCACACTGGGGTGAATCTGCCACCCAGTGATTCTAGGTTTTCAATGGTTGTCAAACTTAAATAGGTCTGTGGTTTCAGTGAAATCCAATAATTTCTACAACCCATTGCTGCTTAAACTATAAGTTTTTTAATGTTAACTATGGTAAGAACAAGATAATGTTAATCGTCACATCTTTTGATGAAGAAGTTGCAATAGTGAACAAGAACTAAAATTATTCGGTCTTGATTTCAGTTGGTTTATATATGACCTATAAAGATTATTACCATATAGTTGCTCACGTTTCAAATGTCTTTCAACTGCGTTGTGGTTTATATTTTCAGTAGTATGTGATATTCGGTCAAGAACAAAGGCAAGCAAATCCCTGAGATTCAAGAACGGAGGAACAAATGAATAGAACTGTAGCGTCACATGCCATGCCAAGCTCACATAGCCTATTCTAACTTTCGGACAGATCAATTTATTCATTCTTCTTGAGTTGCGTTTTGACCTTGTCACTTATTCGCTTATCAACCTTCACTGTTTTGTTTAAGCTTATGTATGTATATTTCTGATCTTACTCATCACATGTCTGACTATAAATATAGATTGACGCTTAACTAAATCGAGTTGGCTCACATGCCCTCTCCACTGCTCATCATTTTGTTTCACTTCGCTCTCTTCGCCTTCTTCGCTTCTTTTATCCGATCGCTTGTATGGATCGACGATTGTATGAAATACACGTATTCGAAATTCATTCCCGTATTTGACTCTTTTAATTCCGTTATTCACTAACGCGATTTAAGTCGATGATTATTTACGAGGGTCGGTGACATTCATATTTCAGTCATAATCATTGATGCGATCCAAATGGAGTCAGATTAGGGGCACCTAAAGAACACTTCGAGGAACTGTTGAATAGACCAGCCCCATCGAACCCATCGGAACTCGAAGCGGCACGCACACACGTTCCCATAGATGTCACTTCACAAACGACCAAAGAAATCAGGATGGTCATCAGACAAATCAGCAATGGGGAAGCAGTAGGACCTGACAATATACCAACTGAAACACTAAAGTCAGACATAAAGGTAACTACAAGTATGCTACACTTTCCTTTCAGGAAGATTTGAGGGGAGACACAAGTGCCACCGACAGACTGGAAAGAGATATACTTCATCAGGTAATCAAAGTAAGGAGATCTCAGTAAAT